AACCGCTCGCTTTAATTGCCGGTTGAAATTCCCCTAAGTTTCCTTCTGCGGGCACTAAGAATATTACGTCGTCGTTCTCGCTGTCGCGGGCGCACAAAGAGCACCGCACGTAGTCGTGCCAGGAGCGCAGCATCCGCCGCGCTCTACGGTCAAGGTAAAGACTGCGATCTATTTACGACCCACCTTTACGTCTCTCAGATAGTACGCACGTACCCCGCACGATACGACATGAATGGCAATTCGCTGCTGAACGGATCATTCAGACTGCGACTAGCGTTGCTCCCCGAACGATGCACATCGTCGCGTAGTGTCGTGTCGCCTTGTCTCGTCTCCTCGCCATGCCTCGTGTCGTATACGTCCATATTCAGCGAAGTAACGCTCGCGAGAACAAGTTCGCGGATCGTCGTCGTCGTCGTCGTCACGGGACGACGACAGTCGCGCGATTTCCGACCGTTTGCATTCCGTGTTTCCTCCAGGTGTACCCGGTGAATGGCATTTCGCACGCGCGCGCAGAATGCAAAGGACTCCGCTCGCTTATTCCACGCTATACCAGAAGACGTAGACAAATCGCATACCGGGACGCTCTCGCAGCTCCGATTCGCGTTTCGAGTCCCTGGAAGTAGTAAGAGTCTGGCCATTGTTTCACAATCTTCCATCGGATCGATACCAAGTAGAGTGATAACTGAGCACGCGGTAAAACTGAAGAGCAGAAATGTGAAAAATAGAGGTAAAAGTAATTTTGTTTGAAAAATCTCTCGCGGCCATTGAGCGTAATCGCGAGAGAGATCGGCGATAGCACCTCGAATAAGACGCGTCGTCGTCGGCCGAGCTTGCCCGCCTCTTAACGCGCGCGTCTGCGTTGCCCGAACATCGAGGTGGTCTTATACTATGACGCGACTCACGCGCTGCAAATACCTCGCGTCTATGCGACACGTAGTCCACGTACACCGTGGAGTTTGCAAATGACAGTTGCGAACGTGAATCGGCTGTGCAAACAGCGTACGGGATTCGAACGACGCGACGACGGTGACGAGACGGACGCGTAAAATCAACTAGCGTTTTCGAGACGTGCGGCACAGTGGCGGAATATATTACACGATGATCCGCGCTTGACCTTTCGCGTGCCAACGGCTCACGCTGTATCGCTATTTAGCGTGATTGCCGGGGACAACGGTTAAACAGCGGTTAAACGGCGATTCGATCCTCGGGGCTGTCGCCGCGCGAGGTGAACGACGCGCGTCTGGCGACGCGGTGAGAACTCCGCTCGTGGCGAAAATCATGACGTGAGAAAAACGAAGGAGAAGAAAAGGCGGTGGTTCTGCATTTTTCACTCGAGATCGCCGCAATTTCGCGTAGGGAAATCGCTCGAAAACGCGCCGAGCGCGGATATACTCCGCGAACGACGTGTGTGCCTTTAACTCGAATCGCGCGAAACTACGTAGCGAGCAACTCGCGGAAAAGCCCCAGTCAGGAACGTCTATCCTCATAAATGTTTCGTCGGTTTACCCCGAGCGAGCAGTCGCGAGTATAAGTTTTCATAGCCGAAGATAGGGTCGGAAGAGAAAGACACTTCTCGCTCGCCTGCACGCGCGCGACTTCGCCCGCCGCTTTCAAACACACCTCGCGGGGCCTCCTCGTTATTTTTTCAAGCGTGCTAATGTCACGCCCGAGCGAGGCGACCCGCGACGTGAGCATTTCGCGATGCTGCCGCCGCAGCGTGGCGCTTTTCGTCGCGACGCTTTTACTCTTTATTTCCTCGCGCGACGGTTTACTCGGTTTCCTGAAACGACCAACCAACCGTCGCGCCTCTCTTCCTTGATTGCAGCTATCGAGCTAACTCCTTGCATAATGCATATCGGCCTAACACGGAAGAACGAAGAGGGAGGGAGAGAGAGAGAGAGGAGGGGGGAGGGGGGGGAGATACAGAGAAACAGACGACCGGCGAGAGGAAGCGGCCGGTATAAAGGCAGCGGCGCGACTCTGTACAAAAGTGCAATTTAAATTTTCGGACTGACTCACCGCAGAGCGGGAACTTTTTCAATGTATATACAGTTCTAAAAGCTCCCGGTCCCGTCTCGCATAATGCAAAGTAGGCTCCGTATCATCCTCACCGCTTAACCGGCGCGCCGCCGACTATCCGTTTCGTGAATTTGCACGAGTATGGAATATGCACGACGAAGTCGCGTCGCGACGCGCCGAGGGTCGCCATTTAGCGTGCGACGTCTTCTTTCCTCTTTTTATCCGCCGCCTGCTGTCGCAACGGCTCGCTTTAAAACCGCGCGCTAGATTTACGACCCGCCCCTCCGATTGTGTACCGCTACAATTTTGTGCTCTTCGTCCTTTACCCTTTTTTTTCTCTTTTTTTCTGTCGCGATCCGATGAAAGGTACGGGTACCAATTCGCGCATTAGACTTTCATATTCACCACGCGCGAGCGACCTGATTCTTTCCCCGTTTCCCGTAGTGAATAGAAACGCGCTCCGGGAGAACGGCCGATAAATGCCGAATTACGAGCGCGGAACTTCCGGCCGACACGTCTCGCCGCGACGAAACGCGTATCGGAAGACTCGAAAGCGAGTAAATGCCTGGTAAGGGTCGCGATTGCAAAGGTCGCCCGTTCGAATTAGACGAACCGTGGATATATTCTCTCTCTCTCTCTCTCTCGCGGCGACAAATCCACGAGTTCACCAAAAATGTCGTCGTGGACGAGGATAATTTTCCACACGACACGGAATCGCGCCGGGATTGTTGAAATCGCGAAAAACGAGCGGACAGGACGGGAATTTTGATCGATCGCCGCACTATTCGCCACGCCGCGACTGACAATTACAAATCTGCGTGGAAATGCGCGTAAAATTTTGATAAATTGTCATTTTATCATCAAATAATTTATCGCTAATTATATAGGTTGTTTTGATATTAATTATAATTTGCAATTGCGGACGTGAATGTGAAAGATGATAATATCGGACAAATTAAATAAATAAATTGGCATTCTATTCAATTATAACATTTATCGAAGCCGTCGAAATTCTCTAAAATTATGTCAGAGTGTCGAGTGGCGGACATCGCGATAGCCGTCACTCTCTTTCTCTCTCCTGCTAAAATGGTCAGATAAAAATTTGCCGATATGTATCACAATTATCTCGTGCAGATATCGGATAAAAAATGTGTTCCCCTACATTTCTCGCTCCCGTAAACGAGTCGTTTATTCTTTTTATTCTTATCTAATCTCTGAAATTTTTACCCTGGCGAATTAACGATGCAATACGAATTAAAATACTTCAATGAGCGATTGTATGTTTCAATATCATCTATGCTAATTTACTATAAAAAAAAGAATGCAATAACGCGAGCAAAAGTTTCGAAAATTATAAGAAAATGTAAATGAATTATATATATATATATATATATATATATATATATATACATATATATAACTTCAATGGAATTTGACATGTACGAAAACGCGATTCCTCGTAAATGACTACCTTGTTACCGCCGCACTATAAATAGACCTGAACGGCCTTGGTCAACCTTCTACGGGGTCGTCGGCTTCAACCGGCACCCTCATGTGTCGTAAAGATGTTTCTTGACTGAAATTCGCGGCCAGAAATTGCAAACGGGACTCTCGATGGCGGTTTCGTGCGAAGCATCGGGTTGATGGGCAAATAATTTATGTTCTCCTCCACGGTCGATTCCACTTATGTAACATTGAACATTCGTATGAAAGCTCATGTCAGAAATCGTGCGCTTTCTTTCGCGAGATAAATTTGGGACGCCGACTGACAGAGGAAATTGGAGCGTCATTCAGGTCAGAATTCGACACTATTTTTCTCCAGAATATTTCCTCCTCCAGCGATCTAATTTTACTTCCAAGAAAAGCAGTTATCGTGGTAAAATGTAAGACCGGTCAAAAGTTTCTGGACAAAATTATCTCTTTTATCGTGTTATCTGAAAAATATTGACTGAAAATTTTACATTTAAAATATAAACGTGTGATCTGACTGACGAAATATCTTACGCTACTGTTAGAATAATTTTAGATTACAACACTCAGAAGATTAAACAATGTTGGGTCTGTCAATTAATTAAGATAAACACACGACACGAGCATGTTACAAATACGAGGTTGTGTGTAAACAGCGCCATTACCCATCGCCGGGAACCTTCGTCAAAGTTTGCAAACACAATATTACTGAATATGCAAATTTTTAATAGCTGCTTTTTCAAGCACCGCTGTGTACGCAACACTGATAAAAACCGCTTAAACGCGGAGATTTATTTATAGTATTAAAAGGAATGTGCAAGATAAATCTCAATTCGGACATTTTTTTGACGCGCGTCCGACCTTTGATTAAATTTCTCATACATTGCCCCGCCAAGCAGCGATAATGAAATCAAGCTCGATGCACGAGGAAATCGACCAGCGACATTTCGCTCGTCTTTTCTGCGGAATACGACCGAATTAAGATTTAATAACCTCACAGAGAAAATCACCGTGTGCGGGGAACGATGGAGTATTAGAAATCGAGTTTCGCCTGGCGGTCGGTACTACTGCGATCGGAAAATCGCGCATGTTCGTTTCCAAAGTACGTTCTCGTCGAACCGAAAAATCGCCCGTATATCTCATTTGCTTCCTCTTCGGACGCGCTCGCGAATCAATAGTGGATCAGCCTCGCAACTTCGTTCCTACTCGCGACCGGGAGTTTCCACCGCTCTTTGACGGGATATTCGCTCGGCGATTTCGTTCACGACGCTTCGATATGACCGGATCGCGGACAACGGCGATAAGATGAAAAACAGTCGATACGTGAAAATTCCTCGTACGGCCGGCTCTCGATTACATTCGGCTCGATTGCGCGTCACCGCTCCGTATTCGTCGGAATTCGTGGATAACGCGCAACGATGCGACAGTCGCCGAGTCGCAATAACCTCGACTAACTCGTACGCGACTGCATTTCATCTTATCGCGAGGGGATTCGAGAGCTCATTTCTTACCGATTTCCGGAGGACGAAGGAAGAGGTCCTCTCGACGATCCCGGTGAAATCTCAGAATATCACAGGCTTTTATCACAGAACGATGGGCAGTATCCGATAAGACGTCCGAGTATTGCGCTCTCGTTTGACGGCAAAATCGATCACACGGTATATCCAATCGCAATCGTTTTCCCCGGCTGGAGGTTTAGCTCTCTCCCGCGCACGCCAGTAATCCGGTGTCCGGAGAGCTGTATCGGCGAAACGAGCGGCGATTATCGAGTCCGCGCTAATCGCGTTAAAATATGTACGACGCGCGATACGGCGCGAGGTCGACGATCGGCTTGTCCCTAGGAATTATCGCCGGCTGTTATCTTTGAGCGCGCGCGCAAATGTCACGCCGTTTTTTCGCGACGAGCCACGACGAACGGATCTCTCTTCGGGGAGTTCGCGTGCGGCGAGCTTCGATACAGCAACAACGACGACCGGCCGCCCCCGACACGATCGTGCGATTCCGGCGGTGCAGATTCAAAAGGTCGCGCGAGGCTGTTGCATGCCCGCGCAAAAGTCAAGCCTCGACGCACGTTCTCGATCCGCCAGTCGATTATTATCGACGGCTTTCGGCGCCGCGTCAGCTCAGGAAACTGGAGCACGTTAGCGTCCGATTGTACGCTCCCGGGGTGCGATCCGAGCACGGTATTATAACAATGGCGATAATTGTCGATAATCGGCGTGATATTCCTCGCGCAACGGCCGGGCTCGATTGAAAACGCGAGCGGAAGAGCCTGTGCGCGACGCAGCACGAGGTGACGTGTGCCAACCGGTGAACGACGAAAAATGTCGAACACACTCCGCCTGCCACGATTCGGGGTACGCACGACTGTCTCGGCGTGGAATTCACGCGAATGTGCGTACGAGACAACCGTGAATGGCGCGCGCACAGTGTGTGTATCACCACCACCGCCGAATAGCGACTCACAATTCTATGGCGGCGGACCCGACCGTTTTTCGAAGCGCGAGAGGGAAAGAGAGAGAGTGCTAACGACCACGTCTCGACCTTCGTTGTTCGATGTGACGTCGATCGCGGTGTCGTCGCGGCAAGGTTGCGGTCGCCAGACGCACCGGAGAGAAGGCCGGCCTGCTTCTCGAACGGGGAAAGAGCAGCCCTTCGCCGAGACGCTTGCTCGCGAGGAACGCCGGGAACGCTCGGTATGTCACAGGACAACTTCGTTGCGTTGCTGCGTCGCGATCGTTTCCGCTTCGCTCCTGCCTTCCACTTGCACCGGTTTCCTCGGAACTCTCACACACGCACCACACTCAATGAACACACTCGAGAAGAACGCACCCCGTGCACGATCGCGACAGAAAACTCGCCAATCTCGCCGGCGGGAGGAGAGGAAACGATACGTACGCGCGCGATCGCGTCCGCTGGAGCACTGGCGCGCGGCTCGCGATTCGAACGAGTGACTGCGACCGACTTCAGTCGGTCGACTTCGGCTGCTCCGCTCGCCAGCCGAATGGACCCGAGGCGTCACGAAGCGCCCGTCTATCCGCCGCTAAGCGCGCCCCGACACTCCAGTCCTGACGACACTCCAGCCCCGATGACACTCCGGTCTCGACCCGGGATCGAGATGCAGCGGAGCGCGCTGTTCCCGCGATGGTATCCTCCTGGAGAAAGTGTAAGCTGCTAAACTGGCGAACGACGGTAATTCACGCTCAGGGCCGACGGCGCGTTATTGCACCGGGAAATTGGTCCTGTCGATCGACGAACGATCGAAATCGTGATTCGATTGAGGGGAATAACATTTTTGGTTGTAAAAACCAAGTTCGGCTGCGTCAATCGAAAATCGGGCGATTTCGTTTCCTTCCACCGAATCACGTTTGATTACCCATTTTACGATCGATGCGGCGAAACCTGGTCTCTCAGTGCACTTCGGTCAGCTGGTCGTAAGATCCTAGACAACGATCGAATCTCTCATCGTTCTCCGAACCTTCTTTATTGTCGTCTTGGTAAGCCAAACCTTTGGCGCAGAAAAGCAAATTTCACTTCTCCCAACAAAAGCGTTTGTTTTGTCCGAACAAGAATTTCGTCCGAGTCGATCAAATGGATTTCTCTCAGTGCACGATACGAAATGGCTCGCAAAATGCAGTTAAAGCGTCAGAAATGAGTCTGCTATTTATCGAGTGCTGTTGCGAGAACGCCGGCGGACGTACGCACGGCGACGTTAAAGGGGTCGGAATCTATGATCCAGATCTGAGAGCCGGGGAAATGAAGACGGGCGATAACGCGGCGCGCGCGAATTACGTCATTCCGAATCCGTTTCCAGCAACGTTGCGCAACGGTACGTCGTCTTCATGCACGATAGTCGTCAATTATCGCGGCTGCACGAGCAGCTTCGCGCGCCGGATTAAAACGGGCACGATGGCACTTGCGTGATGGGAATCATTTTCACGCCAAGCCGGAGATTTTCATGCCGCCCCCCCCCCCCNCCCCCCCCCCCCCCCTGCCGTTTGTTCCCGGAGATTCGTCGGCCTTTTCGAGCGGGCTCGCCGGCAAACGAAGGGAGAAACGCGCGCATCCAACAGATATCGCGCGCGCGAGGTTCATCAGAACCTAGTTAACTCCTGAGCCTGCCGAAGTTCGATCTAATAACGAAGCGCACGCGAGCCTATCTAATAACCATCACGATTATATCTTCATTAAGACCCGTCCAGGACGCCGAGATATATCGCCGTGCGTTCGCCGCGCGTCACTACCAATGCGGCGCCCGCACGACTATGTCCGCCACGAATGTTTACGTATGTCGTTCATTAATAATAGCACGGAAAGGCTATCATTAACCCTAGAGAACGGCCGTGGCACGTAAGATCGACGTGTTCCCGGCGTTTATACGATACAACGTTAGCGGAGCAAAGCCGCTCGACGCTTCAAGATCGATCAGGAGCATCTTCCAGTTTTTTTCCCCTTCCTTCTTTTTATAGAAAAAAAAAAAGAAGAGGAAAGGGAGACCCGCTTCGTCGTGCAGCGTGTAGCTGCACATTGCAAAATTAGAACGCGACGACTCGCTCGCGGGTCTTACAGGCCGCGCGCGTCGAGCGAATATACACCGACTGTCGCGTGCGCGGATTATTAAGTTCGCGTCCCACCGAGAATCCGTCGGATTTGCATATTCATTAAGATTCTCATTTCGATACATCCGTTAGTCCGCATTGTAAGAAATCCTTTCTCGCGCGTGGAGGCGCACGCAGGTGTAGCACGCGGCGTGAAAGTATCCCGAGATATTCTTTATGAACCGCCACCGGTCTTTCACGCTTTTAATCTTTCGCTGAAATTCCTCGAGGAATCTCTCTCGCGCTTACGCGCCCGCCGAAAAGACTCGGGCGAAATTTTATTACACGCATAAATCCCGCCCGCGTTCGTGGGCGTTCGGCAATTTCGAGACTCGCGCGTGGCTCTTTCTTTTTCCTCCGTCTCGTTCTGCCCCTCTGTCCCTTTCTCTTCAACGCTAACGCTTATTTTCCGCGACGGGGGAATTTAATTACCCGGAACTATGCGGCGGCCCGCGATCGTTCGGGAAAAGGATTGTTAAACGCACCATCTATGAGTCCGCCGAGTACGAGATTACTAAATCCGGATGTGACCGGACGGACGCTGACGGATTTACATTTTCATTAAGGCCCTGATTGCGACCGCAGCCCACCTCGGACGTTGTTGAAAAGCCCGCCGCGCCGGCGTAATAAAGCAGCCGGAAAAACCTCCTCTCTTTTTGTAAACCGCGAACGCATTCCAACTTTGATCTTCCTCTCAGGCAACGACCCTTCGCTCTTCATCTTCCCTTCACTTCCCCCGACTCAGTCTATCGCCGTCGCTCCTCGCGCGGCAGTTTTTCCCGAACCTGTCCCCCGTGAGAGCGAACCCTCATAAAAAATACAATATTTTCCTTTCATTTGATCCGAAAACCCCCCCGTCCCATCCACCTACCCGTCCCGTCGCCTCTTTGTGTGCCTGGCGGATCTGTAAGTTTAATTCGACGCGGAAGTCCAAGCGAGTCCGCGCCACAACCCCGCTCGCTCTGGGCGACTTGATTGCTTTGTCCTCTGAGACTCTAATATGAATTACAAACCTGCTCCTTGACTCCTCCACTCTCGTTCTCTCATCCTACCAGAACCGCTACCACCTCATCGCATTTCTCCGCCGGCTGCGCGCATTCGTTCTACGGAAGCGCGACGGACCGACTCGGCTGATGTCGCGTCTTATTGTCGGAAGCGTGCATTAAGATAAAAGGGAGTTTACGTTTACTTCTGATGCAAATAATATTTGCGCGGGATAATAATATAATTTGCGAATAAAGGGAAGTGACGCAAATATGGATTTATGCTTCATGTGCGAAGTTACGGCGGGAAAGGGGCGCCGGCGGAACTTCACCAGCGGGAAATACACACTTCCGAGAAGAAAATTTATAATAACGAGAACCGGTGTGTGAGAGAGAAAGAGGATTTTATCTTAAATATGCGGAAACATGTTGGACGTCATGTTGGGCGTGGAAATATCTAAACGATACTTGAATGACGTCTAAACGACATCACATTCAAATTATAAAACATTCGAAATAACGTCAGTGGAAAAATACCGAAGAAATATCGCGTGAAGAAGAACGGTATCTCGCGTGTACTCGCCGGCGCGAAATTACGGACAAACACGTCCCCACGATCGACACTTACATTTCTGCAGTGCAATCACAATTTACAGTGCACTTGCCGCGACTCGAAGCGATAAAAAATAAAACTCCTGACGCGTTCGGGCACGCGCGCGTGTCCTTTTTACGAGTTCTGCGATGTCACGGAAACGCGTTTCCGGATGCGAGCGATAAAAAGGGCGGTCCCGCTCGTGCGATGATCGCGTTTCTGCAGATCAAGACGCACGGAGGAGAGCGAAAAACTCATCGCGCTTTCGAGCAATGAAATTTCTACGTTCGCTTTTTATAAACTCTTTCGCCCCGCTCCGCAAGGGATATTTCATATCGCGGAAAGCGTATGTAATTCCGACGACGAATGTTTCATAAATTTCGGAAAATTGCCATCGCTGAAAGGAGAGGCTCGCTATCGATCGTGAACGGCGAGGAGGTGCACGAACGGCCGAGACGCGGCGAATTTAGTACAATCGGAACGCTATTTTCGAAATTTCTATTCTCGTCTTCTAGACACCGAGATTTATGAGAATCGTTGCAGACGCGGAGGCGCTGCCGCGCGCACTGCAAGAAACCTGATATTCCTATATCAAACTTTCATAGGATATTACGATCCCCGGAAAATCTATTTAGGATGGAACAGTGGAACCGCTTTATAGATATACGATTACGATGTGGGGGAAACGGATACGTAAAGTATGCGGACTGTAAACGAAAATCTATAGAAATATGGAACCGCGGAATCGCTTTCTCTCTATCTCTTCCGTTTCTTTTTTTTATACATTTAGCGTCGAGGAACGAGAATGTCGATCGGTATAAAAGAAAATTGATAGTTTACTTCGTTAATTTTACCACTCATTGGTATCAAATAATGGTAGGAAATGACATACAGTCTGTCTAATAAGAGCTTGATCGGCATAATTTCTTAACTATTTATCAGAAAAAAATGAAAACAATTTTTATATGCACTACACAATCAGTATAGTACTTTTGTATTAATAAGTCGTCCAATCAACCGCTGTTGTCAATTATTACCTGACATCTTTCAGGCATACTTTCCATCAATTTTACAGAATACTGTCGAGATAAAGGTCGCCGTGTTGAACGAATCTGTTTCGTCGTATATACTTTTTATCACGCAATTCTGTCTTCACAGTAATTAATTATTCTTAATTATATATACCTGGGTTCTTTCTCAAAAGATTCCCTTTTTTTAAATATTTGTTGTAGTTCCCAGTGGAATAATCTATCGTTCGAATAATTTACACTAATCATTAAATAATATTAGAGAGTTATTACAAATACATAGCCCGCAACTCAATTTCCTAGTTCGATATGAATCGCAGATTCGCATTCATATCGAATATCCGTTGAGCGCGATTTGAAAATTCATCTCTTCGTACGGGCGATTTGTGACGTGAGTATACTTTGAACGGTTATGGGATTTGCTTGGCAACACATGGATTCGATAAATCAATAGCTAATCACATTTCTCGTATGCAAAGCGCCGTTTACCGATTGTCGCGAGAAACAATCGTACGAAAATAAATAAATGCATACGATTGTTATCCTATACGTCACAGCTTTATTAGTTAATCGCACGTTTGCGCAAATATTCTGTCAAATATTTTGTTACGGCTTTTATACCAGCATACCGCGGGTGTGTACATATTGATCTACTGGACCGCATACACCGCGTGTTATATGTTGTGCAGCCGACGTTCTAAAGGTTCCTAAAAA